ATCTAAACTTGTGGATGTTCCTCCTTTTTTAAATATTTCTCTGCATATTCAAAATCTAGTGGAAATAATGGAATAGAGTTTGCTAAAAGTTCACCACTGCTTAGTATTTTAAAAGTATTATTTTCAGATTTGGGTGCTTCTTCATTTTTTTGTAATGCTACAGCAACACAATGTTGTGATGGCAACAATGTTTCCTCAAATAACCATTTTTGTTTTATATTATTTATGTATAACACTGTATCAGTTGCAACCAAATTTTCTATAAGCTCTGAATTGGTTTTAAAACTAAGTGCTCCAAGATCAGTGATGATACCTTTACCTATAGCTTTCACATAACTTTCTTTCAATGCCCAATGCCTGCAAAACATACTGACTTGTTCAGATTCATTCAGAGATAAATCTTTTATTTCTTCCCATTCTGAAGACGAAAAAGTTCGATTCATTATGCGAAAAAATTCAAACAATTGTTTACCGCCGGTGTACTTAAGTTTCATTACATCTACTCCTAATTGTACGTTTCTCGTTTCACCTGCTAAAACCGTATAATCACCCTGATGAGATACATTAAAACTCAAGTTTGAGGAAATATTTTCCATAATAGGTTTATTATTTATATCCCTTGTAAATACTACATTACTGTAAGGGATATGACCATATTCACTAACAAATTTTCTCATCAGCAATCTACCTACAAGAGAAGCCCTAACATCTTTACGAAACACAAATCTACCTAATCTTTCTTTCTCTTCTAATTGTATACAAGAAATTGCATAAGCAAAATCCTTTTCACTTAGGTTCCATTCCTTCCAATTGAATGCCCACCGAATACTTTGCAACATTTTTTGTATCATTAACTTTATCTGTTTTGATTTATCAATTTTTTAATATGGTAATGTTCCATGAATTATTATTTGCTCCTTTTTGCTAAAGCACTGCTTTTTAAAGGATCTTGTTTTTAAAAAAACCAGGCTACTCTTTAGCATCCACCTGAAGCAAATAGACAAGACATTGTATTACTTTTCCAACAAACAATAATATGTATTATTGTATATTGATATCTTAGAATTGTTAAATTTATTATTTAAAAGACAAGTGTTTATTCTTATAGGAGAAATCAGATGTACAGAATAACTGTGCAATGAGTCAGTGAGTTGAGTTCACCTAATTCAGACCTGAAGCTCTTTTAATTGGGTGAGACATGTGGGTGTTGATGAGGACAACACCTCTTTAACTTAAGTTCTTTAAACTTAGAAAATTTAATGTCTTAAAGACAGATATACATAATACAGATAATACATAATACACTACCTGTGTTGTTGTTAAACATAATCATAAAAATAGATGAAGGAAAGCAATCTTAGTAACAGTTACAGATATTCACATACTTCTTCAAAATATGATAGGTAGCAAGCAACAAACTACGAATCACGAGTATATTTCTATATTTATACGAGAAAGTAACATAGGGAATGTTATTAAATAAATACCTATGGATAAATGCACTATAAAATACAAAAAAATCAAGGAAACTTTACCATTGATCCTAGCATTCTTTGGACCCCTATTAGGCAATGATGTGGTGGCTGTTAAGTGAGCTCTGTCCAAAAGCGGTTCATTACATTCATCATCTAATTAAAAATTATATAAAAGTTAGAATAATTTTTTATATAATGTATGATGTAAATTATATCAAAGTATACAATATTATTTAAATAATTCTTCAATATTCTGAATTCTGTATGACATTTTCATCATATTCCATATAAAATCCCTACTGATTTAATAATATGATTAAAGAATTTTATTTTATGTAATCAGTATAAAATATGCTTATTCAACAAAACATATACGCACATTACGGAACAATGAATATGTGATTATAATGCATTAAAATTTCAAAGAATTAACATTTTTAAATAACACATCAGTATGCGAGACGGTTCTATTAGAAATCAGAATTAATTCGTTTTCTAGTGAGTCTGTTATACCACAACTCTACTACGCCATGTTGTAAAGTGGGCTTGGCTGTATTGAATCATCTCGTGAAAATTATTTTCTTCTGTAGAGGAAAAATGTCGACCAGTCGGTAGTAAGATATACTTACATGCAGAGGTGAACGAATTACTTGCAATTGCAAACACGAACACAAAACACCTGATAGTATTCATCGTATCATTGCCCTTTTAGAGAGCAATACACGACAACCTACTCCTAAGCGGGACGCGTCGTTGAAACTGTTACTAAATTCCCACCAGTTTGTATTACTCTTACGCATACCATGAGAAGCCTTTACTATGCTAACGCATATGCATGAATGTGAATAAGACGATATTTAAAACGATGTATTGATAACATCCTATCGAAAATATTAATATTTAAATTTAGTCGAAAAATAATTCTCGATAAGGATTTTGTATAGTTTATTATATATCGGAATTATCATTTTTTCGTGATTTGGTGAAATATTAAATTCACTATTTTTATAGTTCAATAATTTGAACGAATCAAATGTTCATAGAATTCGTTTCTTTCAAATATATTAATAAATATATTTCATGTTATTCATAAGTAATTTAAAAATGTTATCTGTGATCACAGACGAGGACAAGCGCAGACGACGCACAGGATAGACCTTACATCTTATGAGACTTTTTGTCCGGAGCTTTGGGGCCGAAAAGACCGTTACTATTTTCGTGTCGCTACCAACGTTACCGATTCAGTATAGAATAAGATTACAACGTTAATAGTGGTTGGAATTGGAATTAAACGCAATTATGAAATTACAAATAAGAAAGTAACGTAATTGTTTATTGATAGATGATTCATCACATGCACGTGTTCTACTGCTGTCAGAAGATCGTGAACAATTCTCCCCACGCAATCCAATATGTATATATGTATCTTTATATGCAAATTTAATAAGAGATTTTTTACATCTGTCGATTTTACCATCGTTAATGGTTTGATTGTATGTAATTCCTAAACTCACCGCTTTATATCGTAGAGGGCATAACAAAAACTCTAATTTTTTACACGATCGGTATTTTAGAACGTTGGACAGAAAAGTAGATTAAGTGTAAGGTCTATCCCACAGACGAGGTACAGGATATTTTCGGTATATTTTCGATTGACAATGAGGATTTGCAAACAACTTAATGTCATTAAAATATTCGATTATTTGGAGAAGGTTAATTAGTATATAATGGAGGAAGAACAAAGAGTTCACAATGAGGAGGAAAAAGAACAAAATGTACAACAGGACCAAACTGAACAACATGAACAAAGTGAAATTAAAATTGAAAATTTAAATAAAAGTGAAGAACCAGCACCAGTAGAAAACCGTATTTACGATGACGATTTTGCGGAGTACGGAGATTACGAATATACATCGAAATATGCAAAGGAATGGGGTGGAGAAGAGGCAAGATGTTAGTCTTTGCCTATACGCGATTAGATAAATGTTTTACTAATATTAAGTCATCCCCTAAGTTCGTGTCGAATTCTATAATTTAGATTAATATTTCTAACGAATCTTTAAATTTGATAAAAAAAACATAAGTGCCTTCACATTCCACAACTTTTTCCATTTTTTTTTTTTTTTGGTAAGACCATCATTCATTAAAATATTTTGCACTTTCAGCACGAACTTACGCGATAACCTAACATTTTATTTTAGAAGCGCTGAAAATTGTAGTCGAGATGCCAGACATGCATTTTCTATCTGTTATTCAAACAACCAAGATAACATTGACCTTAAAAATTCTAAAATGTCCATATCTATGTGTTTTCCTAGAAATAGATCAATGTTCTTTACCATCATTTATCCTAGAAAGAGGTTATAAAAATAAGGATAAACTTTGAAATGACGTCGTTAGTAAAACCCATCAGAGTAATCATCATTATCTTCTTCGCATTGTTACACCCTCAAATATTTTCCTTCTTAGTCCTTAGTTTTATCTGTATTTACAACTAGTCATCCACTTTCACCATTTCTCATACTGGACTCTTCACCTTCCAACACTCCTCTCAACTCTCTTGCATAGTCACAATCCAAAGTCCATCTTCCCAGAATCCTTAAATAGCCCTATTTTCTCCATTTCCACGTTCATTCTCTATTTCACCACGCGCACGTCACGTAACATTAAAATCTCAACTAAAGTTCTGTTTCTACGCAACGACGATCCTTAAGTGTTTTAATTCAGTGATACCCTAATATCTGCTCCTAGTTTCGAGGAATTGAAGGAAACCGGGCATCACAGCATGATAATCTCGTTAACTGACAACTTGTTCACCATTTTCATACTCGCGATAGTAGGCAATATTGGAATGAAATATACGTATATTTAGCAGAAAATAAATAATAAAGTTAAAAAAAGTATGTTTCAAATATTTCGACCGGACAATAAATAATATCATGTTGCCTACATTATTTGAAGATTTAAAAATCGCATGTTCATTACTAAATGCCACATTTGGACCAATAATCACATCAGAACTTGATCGAATCATAGTGAATGGAAATGCTTCAGCTATCGAACGAAACCAACCGATTAACTGAATTGGTACGGAATGAAAACTTGAATACACGCAGTTCACACTTTCATCGTATGGAAACCACCGAACAACAATCTTTCCCTCAATTATCTATCCGTGAATTATATTTCTATACATGTGGAACGTATCAACTGAAACAGGCTCCTGGTTACTATGCAGACCACATAAATGAAAACGGCGATTTTGTATTACAAATGGCATCAGTATCTTGCACTATTAATTATCGCGATTACCAAATAAACGTTGACCCTAATAATGTCATATTAAGTAAAACACAAATACTTTCACGCCATTCAAATACTATAAAATACTTTGTACACGTGCTGCTGGATAAAACTAAAAATGGACTAGACTATACTATTGGACATACTTACATATGGATGTAGAGTTGGTGAACCGGTTGTGGATTGTTGTTTCCATGTTAAAACAGTTTTGTGGTTTTTTTTTTGGCTATGCTCGACACCAATCTACGATTAATTTTCCAGCGGATTTCCTAAACGATTATTCTGTTAACGGATTATCATCCGAAGAAGATAATGATTAATCAGATGGGTTTTACAAACGACAACATTCCGAAGTTTTCGCTGTTATACGTATAACTTTCCCATCATCTTCAGGGTAAATGATTATGCATTTCGGATTCCTTAAAACCCGTAGAATCATGTCCTGTAAGAAATTTTCGTTACCAGCCAGGTCCAAAATTTGTCAATTTCTACCACTGTCCTTTCAGCATATTTAACACATACAGGGTGTCCTATTTTAATCTCCCCAGGCAAATATCTCGAAAGATATGAAACATATGAAAAAATGTTTCAAACGAAAATTGTAGGATATTAAGGGGAACAGATTATGCTGTCTTTTATTTAACCTTGTGACGATATTGAAAAATCTTGCAAAGGTCAACTTCGATGTTTTAAATTGGAACTTATATTTTTAACTGCACCTTCTTATAGCTGGCATCGGAGCGTTTTAAAACACTATCTGAACATATTTGTTGTATAAGTCGTTCCCGGCTTAATGTAGTTTACGTAATGAAGTTTAAGGTCCGGTTCCCAACACGGTGGCCCTACCCAGACGGCCTCCCTGGGAGAGGGATTGAGATACGCTCAACGGCCTACCTGTGTGAAGGACAACTGTGAGGGAGAGCTACACGTTACAGGTTGAACGGAGTAACTTTCCACATTTTACCAGATTCTCCAGAGCTGGTACCGGAGCTGTAATTGACGCAGCTCATCCGCTGGCAGCCTGGAGAAAGGGACACTCAACCAACATTTGGTTTTAAACCACTGCCCCCTCGAATCCAACACCAAACTAGGCCAGCCCCCAACGTGAGAGCAGGATCCTCCGCTCATCTCGCCGGACAACCGGGGAAGGTGGAGTGTCCACCACAGCCTCAGCATAGCAAGGACGGGCTGGTCGGCCCGAGGTACCGTTCAACATCATCGGTGGAATAGGGTAATTTCGGGGGAGATGGACCGGCGGGAGAGACGGGCCAGATAAGTATTTCCTACATTATCCACCAGATATGGAACAAAAAACACTGAGAGCCACGCTCGATCGCTTTCTGTAAAACAAAAGAATACCGACGCGTTCCACATATGGCGGATAATGTAGGAAATACTTGCCCGGCCCGTCTCTCCCGCCGGTTCATCTCTCCCGGAATTACCCAACCACTTCTAATGAAGGGACCTCGGTACTGGTTGACTAGTTAGGGTACTGGGGGTTCACAAAGCCCTTGGGCGCCTTTAGGCACCGCCCTGTGCCGGGCTATAAGAAGGTGCAGTTAAAAATATATTTAGGTTCCACTTTAAAAATTCGAAGTTGACCTCTGCAAGATTTTTCAATGTCACCACAAGGTCAAATAAATGACAGCATAATCTGTCCTCCCTTAATATCCTACAATTTTCGTTTGAAACATTTTTTCATATTTTTCATATCTTTCGAGATATTTGCCTGGGGAGATTAAAATAGGACACCCTGTATACAGTGTGGTTTACAGATAATACAATTTTACGCATGTACAGAATGACTGACAAATAATATACAATCTAAAATAATATGAATTAATAACAATAAAATTTCTACGTACAGCTGTTTCTACTGGAACGATAGACTGGGAGAAGGAAGCAAAGGAAACGGTCCATTTGGATCCAACCATTACGGGGTTAGGAGAAAGACGGAGAACCATTTATGAACTGGACTCTTATGTCTCTGCTGGGCCATCGGGCAGCGAACTCATGAAACTCACTACAAAGGATTACGTACCAGAAACGAAAAAACCGAAGATTCGTTACTCTGTTTCTCTGGTAAATCACTGATATACCAGGTGTCTCAAAATTACATGGATAAAGTTCACCATTCAACTTCCTGATGATGAATCTGGCTAAAATAAAAGATCCTTTATTGTCTCTTGTAATCTGAGTTGACTAGTCAATTGTGTACTTCCTGTTCAGGGCGCCCCAGGTATAGCAAGAATCAATCTGTCACCACTGACGCAAAAAGTAATCGGCTGCGTCATTGGAGAAAACGTGAGTACCGAGTATCCTTGGGTGTACGTCAGGAAGGAGATCATCGAGGACAATATAGAGCTGTACGAGGAAAGTAGCGATTTTTTGCCCGTAAAAGACGAGATACGCAAGTTTCCGAACTCAAAGTTGCTGATTGGCTAC